TTTTGTTAATTAAAACAGTTAATCTTGTTTAGGATTTTGTTATTTAGAACAGTTCCATCTCTGTAGCAACTTGCTCCTCTTCCATTCTGGCTATCCACTTGCTCTACTTTGAGTGAGCCTTTCATTTGATTTAGGGCTTCCTTGGTGACTTGACTAGATGAAAAGCTGTCATGAGTTTCTTCCATTACAATTTTGGCCTGTTTGCCCAGCAAGCCTTTCTTTTGAATGAGAGGACTGATGGTGAGCTATGCTGGCTACAGTTCATGGGGTCACAAAGAGTTGGAGACAACTGAGCAACTAACCACTTCATCTGATTTAATCTACCTGTCATCTTTCAGAAATTTGTTAAAGTTCTTGGTATACTGGCATCCCTATCTCTGTTCTCTACATTTCTATGATTTTATTTTCTTCTGGTTATTTTTCTGTTATTTCAGTAGAAATCAGGAAAGAAGAGGAGGTAAATGGGTATGTTCAGTTCTTCATCATGAATCAGAAACTCACAACCATTTTTTAAAAATCTTGTAAATTTTTGAAGGGATTATATACAGCTTGAGGCATTTTCTCAGAGGCCTCTAGTTGGTTGATTATGAGTAAAGAAAAATTTTGAATAGGGATTATGTTATTTAATTATAAAGTAATACTGTACTTGGACAAGACCTAAAGTGTATTCAGTTCAGTTCAGTTCAGTCTCTCAGTCGTGTCCGACTCTTTGTGATCTCATGAATCCCAGCACACCAGGCCTCCCTGTCCATCACCAACTCCCAGAGTTTACTCATACTCACGTCCATCGAGTGGGTGATGCCATCTAGCCATCTCATCCTCTGTCGTCCCCTTCTCCTCCTGCCCCTAATCCCTGCCAGCATCAGGGTCTTTTCCAATGAGTCAACTCTTTTCATGAGGTGGCCAAAGTATTGGAGTTTCAGCTTCAGCATGTCCTTCCAATGAACACCCAGGATTGATCTCCTTTAGGATGGACTGGTTGGATCTCCTTGCAATCCTAAAACCATTTATGAATATGAACTACTAAGACCAATTAAAACCTGTGATTTAACAACAAGAAAAAAAAATAAGACCTAGAAAACAAAGAACCCACATATGTAAAGTGTTAAAGAACCTGTCTAACAGTGCAGGAAACGTAAGAGATGTGGATTCAATCTTTGGGTCAGGAAGATCTCCTGGAGGAGGGCATGGCAATACACTCCGGTAGTCTTTCTTGCCTAGAGACTCCCATGGACAGAGGAGACTGGCAGGCTATAGTCCATAGAGTTGCAAAGAATTGGACATGATTGAAGCGACTTAGCATGCATACACACACACACACACACACACACACACACACACACTTCTCTCCCTATGGGTGATGGGACTCTCTAAACTACTGTACATAACTTCAAATCCATTTCTGTGGCTGCACAAATTTGTCATCAGACCCTGCTAGCCCTACCTTATTGGCAAGGGCACATGGTGATTAAAATGGCATTGACGATGTTCTGATCTGCTTTGAATAATAGAAAATTCAGATTAAGGAAAGATTATGCTAATGAGGGAGAAGATCTTAGAGTGGGAAGGGATTTTTGAAGATGGCTTGTTCAGCTCACCGACTGACACGTGCTTTCTGTCTGTAATACCCTGCCTCACGGTCTTTTCTTGATCATCTCCAGTAATGAGAAAACTGCAACCTCCAGAGGCAGCATTTTTATCTTCAGACAGTGCTGTTAAAAAGCCCTTAAACATAACCCTGATCTGGCTCTATGTACCTCCCAGTGTGTTCACCAGCTGTGCTCTCCACGACATATAGCATAAATCTAAACCACTGTCATATGGAAGAGGAGTTTGATATTTCATATGTTAACAGGACAGGTAAGAAAGAGATCCATTTAATGTCAGAGACAGTTGTCACTTCACTATCTAAAGATGCTTGCATTCCTCAAGCGGTTCTTTACAAAGAGCGAGGCTGTTAAGTAAAAGCTTTAAAAATAATTCCATTACCCACTTTACAAAGACAGAGTGACAGCCAATCATTAGAAGAAGAAAGTCTTCTTGGATGATGCACAGTTTGCAAAAGATGTGATTTCATCCCTTAGAAAGCAGATGTACAGTAAATTCCCACCAATAAATGAGTTCTGTTTGCTTGTGTATCGTATCTTTCCCATGGCTTCAGTTTATAGATGAGATTCATTGCAAGTCCCCCTCAAACTGTTAAAGTTCTATGGACAGAAAGAATTCTGGAAATGCCTAAAACTTCAGCCACCTCTGACTGCTTATAAAAAGACAACCAGAAAGTTCAGGAGCATGGATAGCTCAAACGCACAAACGCACTCTGAAGGCTGTGTGTCCATCCAAGTGGTCCACTTTCTGGCCCATGGATAAATCCGAAAGGCATATGCAAGGTCTACAGACCACAGAGGCCCTTAGTCATCACTTTCAAATCCCTCATCATATAGATAAGGATTCTTGAGGCCGGGAGCAGAAATTAGAAGTTCAGAGTCATTCAGGAAGTTAGGAGCAGAGAAAATACTAGAATCTGAAGCTTTGGTTCCCTGGTCCAGGCATTTTTTTTTCCCTTTACTTTTCTGTTGTGGGTTGCGGTTCTTTATGGCCTGGTCAAGCTCCCGACGGATGCTGTCTTCTGGAGTTCCCCATCCTACGCTCATTCTGCTTGGCCACATGGCAGACACCTGACTGTCCCTGAGACACATCCAGCAGCCTTTGCAGTGCCCATCATTCTGCCAGGCACACGGTCTCCCTCACAGCTGTTTGAACCACCCGCTCACTTCACCTAGGTGTCAATCCACATGCCACCTCCTCAGGGAGCCTGTCTCTGATCATTTTATCTATAATAAGACTCTATATCACTCATTTCTCTGATTTAGTTTTCTTCATAGTATTTACCAGTTTCCTGACATAGAAATTTTCAAAATATGCATATTATGTGTGCATGCATGTACATTTCATGTATATTTATTTCTAATAAATATAACTTCCATGAAAATGAGGACTTTGTAAATTTGTTCACTACCATACACCCAGAATCTAGTGGGTGCAAATAAGTCTTTCTGAAAGCCTAATGAAACAACACCTTTGAAATTATTCAATGCAGTTGAAGAGGGGAATCAGTTGAGAGTTCAAATGGCACAACACACCCCTCAACTACTGGAAACTCAATTCAGAACCTCATCTTACAAAAGACAGGTTCGTTTCTTTGCCTCTGGTCTCCATTTTCCTAGTTCAATTCAAATAATTGCTGAGAGCCATATACTCAACAAATATTTGTTAAACTAAGTAGTGAATACAAGCACTGATTTAAAAGGCACATTTTTGTAATAAAATAAGCTCAGGGAACCTAGAGGCCTGGTCCTTGCTCAACCAATAGCTGTATTAGTTTAGACATGCTTCTTATGCAATAGCCATATTCAATTAATCACCAAATAATTAATAAAAAGGATAAAAACAGATTTGTTCTAAGAAACCTTCCAACTCTGACATCCTAGAATATCATAAAATATTCTCTTAGGTTATTTTCTTCTTGCAACTGGCTGGTGTTAATTGATTTTAGTAGTACCATCACATTTGCAGGCCTTCAAGAAATTTGTTCTTTACCACAGTGATGGCCGAGGTCCTTTCAAGGAGCCAACATGCCAAGCCACAATGAGGCCCCATTTATCTACAGGTCCATTTCCCAGCAATCTGACTCATTCAGGCCCTTTTGATCCTGAACTCATCAAAAGAGTCCCCTGGGTGCCCAGATGAGCTGGCAGAAAGCCTCAGCGTTAAAGACCATGTACATTGCTTCTCATCCCCTCTATCAAAGCATTACAGGGTCTAGATTCCTGTTTTCCATCAATGACTCAAGGGTGCTATTTCCTCTCCTGGAAATTGTCTTCCCTGTCCATACTTGCTGATGAACCCCTATGTGTTTTTCAAGCTAATCTCAAATTCTCACTGTTCTAAGACACTACTACAGCCTCCTACTGCCCACAGAGTGGAATGCAGTACCTTCCATGCTCTCATTCTGACTTGTGTATCCCTTCCTAACAGCCTGGCCATTCTGGGTCATTGTCATGCTTGTTGAGCATTTAGACTTGTTGAGGTCACTATTGTGTTTTATTTGCCCCGTTCCCTAGGATGGAGTCTGGCAGAGAGTAAGTTTGCAAATAGTGCTTTCTAGAGACTTCCAGTGATGCCATCCCCTGGACCTTAGTGAAAGAAACACAGTAACCCAAAAGAGAATGCTTGGAGAAGGCATTCAGGAGAGACAGATACATGATTCCTAAGCAGAATAATAGGTGACACTGCATGACATTGAGGGAGGAGACAGAAAGATCTCAAACCAGATGCAAAACCTCGAAATGGCTTGGGATGCTAATGGGTCTTTAGAATGACATCTCTGAGTGATTTTGAAATTACAGAGTTCTGTATGGCAGATGGGAATTCAGAATTTCTGGAAATGTCAACTACCTTTCAGAAAGATGTCTATTAACAAGAGCTTACTGTACTTGCTTGGTGTTTGACAGTTCGACTTCAGTTATCTGGAAAAGGCCAAGCAGAGGAATGGGACTTAACCAAGTCATAAGTGAAAAGTAAAAGTGTTAGTCACTCAGTCATGTCCAACTCTTTGTGACCCTGTGGAGTGTAGCCCCCGCCAGGCTCCTCTGTCCATGGAATTCTCCAGGCAAGAATACTAGAGTGGGTAGACATTCTCTTCTCCAGGGGCTCTTCCCAATCCAGGGATTGAACCCCAGTCTCCCATGCTGCAGGCAGATTCTTTGCCATCTGAGTCGCCAGAGAAGCCCATCAAGCCAGAAACCAACATGATTTGATTAAATGGTATAAGTACTCAGCATCATACAATTCAGCTAAAATGATCAGTAAGAAGCTAGCACACAACTGACTGGCCAAGTCTGTGAGGGTTTAGGTTCTCTTTGGAAGAGGAAAGGTCAGGAGTCCTGGTAACCCGGAAGATGTGAGGAAGGGAGAGTGAGGTTTGGGCTACAGTGTACATGCTGAGGAGGATGGATATTAGTAAAGAGGAAGAAAAGAAGGTGTTCTTGCTGATGAAGACCACTCCAGAAAAGGCCCTAGGGTGGGTCTGGCAAGAAATGAAATCGAGAGGGTCAGTGGAGTAGCAGTTAGGACAATGTCTTGCATGGTGTGGTAGGTTATGGGGACCATTGACAGCTGGCCAGAAGAACTTGGATCCAGAAGCAAAGTGCTGATGCGTGAGTAGGGAAATTAACTAGTCTGGTTGCTACTACATGGTCACAAATAATTTGATGGTATTGGTGTGGGTGCAGGTGCCCAATTTCTGGAATCCTCATAAACCTACTAAACTTTTATTAATGCTGAAGATATGTAAGTGGTAATAGAAAGAACCTAGAGGAATAGATGGCAACCCACTCCAGTATTGCCTGGAAACTGCCATGGACAGAGGAGTCTGGTGGGTTATAGGCCATGGTGTCGCAAGGAATTGGACATGACTGAGCACACACACACACACACACACACACACACACACACACACGAAGGATAGAAGGAAATGGAGGGGAGAGAATAAAAATATATATCATTTAGTTCATCCAAAAGTTATATATAATTTGTATATGTAACTGATCAGGTGTTTACTGAACGGAGCATTTAAACATCATCAAGATGCTGTGTGAGACACAGACCTTGACCTTAAGCTAGAAGGTAGGACGACAAACTTAGATAAGATAGATGTTAACCTGGCTCCTACACTGAAGGCAGGGACAGTAAGCAGGAGATGTAGTTCAGGTGAGAAATTGTATGGAAATAAACACAGGATTGTCACAGCAGGGGTTGCAAAGGAAGAAAACACAAGGCACATTGAGAAGGAAAATACAAAGAAGGGATTTGGTGATATGTTTTTGTTGCTTTATCATTTCATTCCTTTAGTTCCTTTTGCTGAGCTCTCACTGCCAGGTTCTGCAGCATTTCCTAAAAACATAAGGAAATGGGCATCAGGATAAACTGCATTGCTTTGTCCTCCCAGGAGCCAGACACAGTATTAAGAAGTCTATGTACATCATGGCATGTAATGTTCAGAAGGTTCCTGTAAACATATTGTCATTCTCATTCTATAGTCACAGAAATCAGAGCTCAGAGACAGTAGACAACTTGCTCAAGCCACACAGCTAAGCTGAGCTGGTGTTAAAATGCAGGTGTGTGGATTCTAAGCCTGGCTCTCTCATCTCTGCTACAGAGGTGACAAGGAGGACGTGGCTTGTGTTATTATTGGGGTCAGTCTTGTGAGGGGGAGGTAGAGGACAGGCAGGATGGAAAATTGCAACGGGGACATGCTCAGAGCCTCCAGAAATGGAACACGAGTTGGAGGAGAAGGAAAATCCCAAGATATTTAAGCTGCTGACTCGGAAGGTCTTTGTTGCCTCCAGCTGTATTAGAAGACTCGGAGGCCATTTGGGAAGTGCTCTCAGTTGTGCCTCCAAGGATTGGGGTGAGGGTAGGGGTCCTGGTTCCACCACGATGTTGAGCAACTGACCTTCCCTCTACTGGTCTGGGTTTTCCCATCATCCAGAAGTTTCAGACTAAGTGTTCTCCAAAGTTCCTTTCACCTCTACACTGGTGGTGGAGAAACTGAATTCCGGTGGCTGATGAACAATGAAAAGTCGACAGGGGAGGGAGGGCTCAGTTGGCCTTTTCTTGGTACTTTTCGCTCCTCCGTGAGATATTTCCTCCACTGATTTCCAGTTCATCTCCTAGAGTGTGAGACTCAGAATCAGAAGGGGTTTTGGGTGTCTGTGAGGAATCTCGGGGGAAACAAAGTAGCAACCCTAGACTAGGTCTTTTTCTCTGGGGTTCATAACCTCATTCCCATTTCCCTGGGGTCTCGAGGATAGAAGGCTGCATTCACTTTATCTGAAGAGAGAGGCACAGCTGTAGAAGATAGAATGCCCACAGCCTGGCCCCCTGCTCTCAGCACTAGGTTGGGAAATGAAAGAGCCTGGAGATGGGGCTAGAGTGGAGATGAATACGGAGAAAGTACACCCTTCTCCCAACTGACTCTGTGCTTCCAGCCATCACCCCATGTGGGTGACTGGGAAAGTTGAACACCCTGCCATAGCCGGAGGCTCAGCTATTATACACGTCTGGGCAAAGGCAAAATTGGGACAGAGAATGGACTTCTGTTCAGGCAGGACTTTCAAAGGGTTTGGTGCCCACACTGATAGTTTCTGTTGGCACGAGTGATGTCTGTTCAGTTGAAACTGAACTTCTCCGTAAACTCAGCTTCCTCCTACCCACTTTCCCTGTTTCTCTTTTAGTATACTTAACAGAATAACATCCCCACAAGTACGTTTTTAAATCCAATTTCTGATGGAAATATGTTAGATTCTTCTCAATGGTGTGCTCAAGTCAGCTCATAAGCTGATGGTTCAACTTTTTAAAAATTTGTGAGTTGGGTATTAAACATAGCCATAATTAAAAATTAAATTATAGAACTTATTAAATAAATTATAGTGAAAACAGCAATAAATACTCAAAATTAACACTGCCTAATTATTTTACTACATTTTATCTTTATTTATGCTCTTGAGGTTCTTTATTTTCCATTAAGTCTATGCCCTGAAAATACTATACAATGGTGTATACATATTTTTGCAATTTAGTATTCAATAAGTTTTATCATGGTAGCTAGAAAATGGTCATGGTTGGACTTATTTACACCATGGAAATCTGCAAACATCACAGATCAAGGCTTGATTTAATTGATTTGTTGATTGCCTTGACATAAGAGAGTGACAGATAAAATGTTAATACTGTAACTTAACCTAAAACTATGTGATTTCTGTAGCCATTAAATTGTGAATAACATACAAATATTGTGAATAACATACAAAGATACTATTTTAGCTTTCAAAAACAATTATCTGAGTCAGAAAAGAAGTTGCTCATGTCTTCGACAAGTGAGATTCCAGCACTCATCTTTATTATTTCACTTTCATCTTCCTTGTTAACTAAAGTGAAAATACCAACTAACATTCATGTCTAAACCACACGCATTGTCAATCAATAGCATTTTAGGTTGGCAGCAGATGCTTGAGTTTGGCAAAAATCAATGAAGCATTCTGTGAGAATCAATTGGCTATATGGAATTTACAATAAAGAGTGTATTTATAGTTTATTAACATTTGTAAACTGTGTATGACACATACTTTACATTAGTAAAATGTATAATCCTCTGTGTACAAATCTATTTGCAACATATACATTATATAATTTTCCCCTAGAGAGCTGGTTGATAAATACCCACTAGCATACTACTGACTCTTGGGGTCGTCATTTGACTGACAGGAAAATGGAGGTTTATATTAAATGGCAGTGTTTGTGACACTGGGTTCAGACAACATTAGGCCCAGGGTAGATACTCTGGTTAAGCTACTTGGAGACTATCAAGGTTCCATAATATTATTATATCATATTAAAGTACTCTATCATTTTTATTTCCAATGCTTCCTAGTGACTTCCTAGCATAGTCATTCACTCCTTATCTCCAAATAAAAATTTCTGACAGAAGTCTTTGACACTGAGGACTCCCAGCAGGATAGAAACATGGCAGGCGGTTGGAGCTGGGATGAAGCTCAGAGAGAGGGGGCAGACTAGGAGCTCTCTCCCTTGAAAGCTTGGTGTCCCAAGAATGAGATTTCATTCCAGAACATGCAGTGACATTTTTAAAGCCTAGCCTCTCGGCCACCCACTTGCACAAACCTATTTTACCTTTACCTGGGTATACACTAGGCACTTTATAAATGCAGACTCCGCCATGAGTCAATACAAGATATATCAACCAAAGTAGTGATTGTTTATTAAAAGCATGGTTTATGTCTCACTCAGTGCTAGGTGCTTGATAGCCATTCACTTTCACCTTTAAATAGCTGTCTGCAGCTATTATTATCTGACTCCATTTTACAGATAAGTAAACTGAGGGGCAAGGATGTTATGTTTTAACTAACATTTGGCAGATCACTTATTAGCTGGTCTTTGTTTCCAGGCAGGTTCTGAAATGCCTTCTTGCCCTGCACCATCATGACGGAGGTAGGGGATGAGTGCTGATGCACCGGGAAGGAAGACTATACCTGAGTGCCCACGCCCTCTGGACTGCATGTGAAAGTGAAGAACAGAGCTGACACCCCTAGAGACTCTTCTCAAAGTATCAGAATGACTGAGAGAAGCTCTGGGAAGAACTGTTTTTCAGGAAGCTTCCCTGTCTGCACAGAAACAAAAGCTCTGAGAAGCTCGTGTGACCACGACGTGCCTGAATTTGCTGGGCTCCTAAACAATCCAGTGCAGGGCTGACTGGAAAGACTAGGGGTGCCTCCCAGTTTGTATCTCCAGGGAACTCTCCAAGGGGCAAGAAAAAAATTTAGAGAATAAAAATAAAGATTTATATAGCGTTGACCAGGTGCCTGGCACAGTTCGAAGTGCTTAAGATATTAAGATATTAAAGATATTATTAATTAATATACTAAATCAATTTCTTCCTCAGGACACCTTACAACACAGGTTGTCTCAGTCTGCTGGTTCGGTTCCATTCTCTTCTTCTTCCCAGGCAACGGCTAAGAATGAACTCCCAGCATCCCCTGACTCAACGGTGTGTGAGTGGCAGGGACTGGGGCCTTTTCCAGGCCAGGCCAAGGAGCTCCCATGGGTTCGCCCCACACCCCCACCGTGTTTTTCCCTGTCTTTGGAAACCAAACACTACAGTTGGTAAAACTACCCTCAGCTTGAGTCCCCTGAATTACCGGAAAAAAATTCCCTGCTCATCTGCAACTTCTCTAGACTATTCTTGTGAGTGAGAAATAAACTTTTATGTTGAGCTATGGCAAATGCGAGTGTCTTTGTTACCACCACCTTGTTTATTCTAATGAAACTTTATACTCATATTATCATCTCCATTATACAGATGAAGAAACTAAAGTACAGGTCACTTGCCCAAGGTCACACATCAAGTCACACAGCTAGACCGTGGTAAAGCCATCTAAACCCAGGCAGTCTGGCTCCAGCATTTGTGCTGTTGACCATCACGCTACATAGCCCTTTATGGACTAGGAGAGACGGCCGATGAGAAACAGACTGTGGGATGGGGGAGAGGGGGAACACAGCCACCAGGTGGTCCCATACCCTTTCTGTCCTGCTTGCATAGAAGGGTAAACCGAAGTGTTAGGAGAAGAGACTTCCCCAAGACCCCTCAACAAGATTAGAATTTGTTTCCTGATTCCCGGTTCTCTCTGTTGTACCATTTAGCCTGGTGGCTAAGCACAGCATAACCATAGGTAAACTACAGTACTATAAGGCTGCAAATAAAATACTCCAGCCACATGGCTTTTGTAGAACCTCCACTTTCACAGATTGGCGGATGGAGTCCTGGGAAATGAACTAGCCTGCTCAAGGTCACCCAGTTAGAAAGTAGAGTAGACCTGGCCTTCTGACTCGGAGCTGTTTTTTTTAACCAGCCCCCACTTTGCCCTAGATAAGTGGTATGGAGCGAAGAGCTGAGATACCAGCCCTATAAACTCAAAGAAAAATAAGGGAAGCAATATGTCATGAAAGGGGGCTTTAAATCCAAGCTCAATGGCCCTTCTTTAGAGGTAATAATATTTACACCAGGCATTCCCACCAGCTTTATTTTCCCTGGAATCCCTCCTCTCACAATCCTCTGGAGCCCTGAGATCAAGTCTTCTGTCCTTGTTTGGGCATCCGCAGGCATCTCCTGGAGCAGGGCTGCCTCACTCATGGGAGGTCCCGGAGTCCAGCGCTGCCCATGGGCAGGGGAATAGGGTGAGGTTTGCTGAATGCAGAATCGGCCAAGGGTGTGGGGTGACAGACACCTACACCCCTATTTTTTCCTATGAAGAGACTGAAGTCCATGGCGTGGAAGGGATGTGGCCAGTCCCCGTGACTGCCATGCCCTTTGCAGGCCAGGATCTGGGGATCAATAATCAATGGGGGGGGGGGGGGGCAGCCAGAGGCATGAAGGATGGCTAGTGGCACAAAGTGGGGGGCTTTCCAAAATGTGGCCACAGCCAGGGCTTCGCAGGAAGAAGGGGTTCACTGTCAGTACTCTTCAAAGGCCCCCCAGGACAGCGCAGTTCATCTACTTCCCTGCAGGGGTGGGCGACCGACGAGGAGGACCTGGGGAGGGGACAGGCGCGCCCCGATTCCCCACCCCACCCACCCCACCCCGCTCCGCCAGTCCCGCCCCCTCCGTCCCCTCCTCGGCCGGGAAGCCGCAGCTCCGCATTGCAGGGGTCCCTGAGGGCCGGGGTCGCCGCGCCCCCGCCGGCCCTTCCTTTGTCCCGGCGCGTCTGCGGCAGCCGCGGAGCTCGGCTGCAGGCGGGGCGGCCGCGCGCCGCCCGGTGCACCAGCACCATCTAGGGGCGATCCGCTTGGCGGGGGTGGCGCCCGCTTAAGCCGGGAGAGAGGTCCGCGGGCCTCGGAGCATCACCGCGCACCTCGGGCAATTGGCCGCCCCAGCCCCAGCCTTAATTAGGGTAGAGGTATGGGCCCTCCTAAAGGTGTGAGGCTATTTCACTGCCTTGATCGTGTTTGATCGTCCCAACAACTGAGTTCCCCCAGGGGTTGAGTAACCCCAAAGGGCACCGCAGATCTGAGCAGAACCAAGAATCAAAGTCCGCAAATGTGTGCACTATATATGCCCCTCTATTGCACTGCCCAGGGGAGGGCGGTTCCCTGATACCTACAGCTATGGGAACTTTGTCTTGCTGTGTGATCTTGACCCAGAAGCCTGACCTCTCTGAGCCTTAAGGGTGCCGCTCAGCCTTAGGGATCATCCCAAAACCTTCCTTTGGGGAGGATGAGTGTGTCAACCATGGGAAGATTTCTAAGTCAGAATTCACTCCAAGAAGGTAAATCAGAAGCTGTGAGTCATGGCGAGGATCAAGAAGAAAGGACCCAAGGAAAAAAAAAAAAAGGAGCTGGCTCCATAAACTGTCAAATTACTATTCCCAAGAACTGGGTGGTGCAGAACACTGTGCCAGAGGCAAAACCTCTTTTGGACCCAGCTTTGAGGCAGGCAACCCGTGTCATTATCTCCATTTTACAGCTGGGAAAATCAAGGCACAGAGAACCGGAGACGTTTTCTCAACCTTTCGGTCCTAGGAGAGCCAAGACTGAGGTCACTGCCGTGGCCACCCGGCCTCCCTCTCCCCGGCTGGGGCCTTTCCGGGGACTCTGAGGTCTGGAAGCACAGAGCCCCGCACCCCCTCACTTCCAGGGCAGCGCCCTGAGGATGCTGGCAGCAGAAAGAAGGACGTGGGAGGGTTCGGGCTGGAAAAGAGAAGACCCAGAGGGGCGTGGAGCTGAAGACTGTCTCTAAATAGCAGGAGGGCTGACACAGGGATGAGGAAGCAGAGGAATGAGGCAGAGACGGGGTGCAGGAGGTGCAGGGTGAAGTGGTCAGGTTTCATTTAGCAAGGAAGGGAGCAGAAGCTGAGACAGAGGGAGCTCTGCTCTGCAGCCTATGGGGTAACCTTCTCCCCAGAGCATCCTGGAGTCCATCCCGTCTTCCTGAGGCCACAGCCCACTACTCCTGGCTCCTTTGACATCCCATTGACCTTACTCTCAAAATTGTCCAGACTATAGCCTGGGGCTGCCAAGACCAGGTGTAAGACTGGTAAAGAGGACTCTGCCGCCTCCCCTGCAAGGGTAGGTTTGTTTTGATGTGCAGTGTAGCCAGGCCTCCTGTCATTGGTACAGGCTTACCAACTCCCATCAGTTCTGAACAATCTCCATCACTTCAGGTGACCAGAATGTGTGTCTCTTATAACTCAACTGTCTGATGAATGTGGTCCCCAGTCATCCGCCCTTTCTTGGAGCGGTGGCCTGGGTGTGAGGCTTGTTCCCCAGGCACTGGAACCTCTGGGAGTTCTGGACTTTTCATTTTCTGCCCTGTTTTCCCCACTCCTAGTCCAGCACAATGATGATGATGAGAGAGAATTTTCTGGAAACCCTGTTGAAGTGATAGTACTTTACTCCTTCCTACAACCCACAGTGGCATCTGGGGGCTTCCTGCCACAGATGTTGGCTGAGGACCTGCTTTATGGCAGGCACTTGGCTGGACCCCTTTATAGACTACCCCAGAATCTTCGACTATGTGGATCACAGCTAACTGTGGAAAATTCTGAAAGAGATGGGAATACCAGACCACCTGACCTGCCTCTTGAGAAACCTGTATGCAGGTCAGGAAGCAAGAGTTAGAACCGGACATGGAACAGACTGGTTCCAAATAGGAAAAGGAGTACATCAAGGCTGTATATTGTCACCTTGCTTATTTAACTTATATGCAGAGTACATCATGAAAAACACTGGGCTGGAAGAAGCACAAGCTAGAATCAAGATTGCCAGAAGAAATATTAATAACCTCAGATATGCAGATGACACCACCCTTATGGCAGAAAATGAAGAGGAACTAAAAAGCCTCTTGATGAAAGTGAAAGAGGAGAGTGAAAAAGTTGGCTTAAAGCTCAACATTCGGAAAACTAAGATGATGGCATCTGGTCCCATCACTTCATGGCAAATAAATGGGGAAACAATTGAAAGAGTAAAAGACTTTATTTTGGGAGCTCCAAAATCATTGAAGATGGTGATTTTAGTTATGAAATTAAAAGACACTTGCTCCTTGGAAGAAAAGCTATGACCAAGCTAGACAGCATATTAAAAAGCAGAGACATTACTTTGCCGACTAAGGTCCGTCTGTCAAAGCTATGGTTTTACCAGTAGTCATGTATGGATGTGAGAGTTGGACTATAAAGAAAGCTGAGTACAGAAGAATTGGTGCTTTTGAACTGTGGTGTTGGAGAAGACCCTTGAGAGTACCTTGGACTGCAAGGAGATCCAACTAGTCCATTCTAAAGGAAATAAGTCCTGAATATTCATTGGAAGGACTGATGCTGCAGCTGAAACTCCAATACTCTGACCACCTGATGCAAAGAACTGACTCACTGGAAAAGACCCTGATGCTGGGAAAGATGGAAGGCGGGAGGAGAAGGGGCGACAGAGGATGGATTGGTTGGATGCATCACCAACTCGATGGACATGAGTTTGAGCAAGCTTCAAGCGTTGGTGATGGACAAGGAATCCTGGTGTGCTGCAGTCCATGGGGTTGCAAAGAGTCGGAGACGACTGAGTGACTGAACTGAACTGAAATGGCTGGATCTAGTTTACACACTGGCAAATTCCCCTGACACATCTGTCCAGGTAGATTCATTAACCCAGTTATACACAGAACCAGTCCACCAGCCTAGGATTGGATACATTCACACATTTCTCATTTTCCCAGCTAATCGTCCAAGTCCCATTAGCCCAATTTAGTGGGAAGGTCTCTATCTCCCTCTCAAGGCCAACTCTTTCTTTGTGGAGTAAGAAAAGTGACATATTGGTACCACTTCGAAGGATACAAAACTTCTAAGCACTGGCTCAGTAAGAACCCAGGTCTCCCCACAGCCCATACCCACTTGCCTTTGACTGTAGAGTGTGGCAAGGGGAAAAGTACTCAGGGTTGGTGATCTAAAGACTGAAATGAAAATCCTGACTCTATTTCTTACCACTCAATGATCTTAGCTCCCATTCTTCAAACCAGAGTGTCATTCCCGGTTCCCAAAAGCTAATAAACATCTGCGTTTCTTGACCTTTACTGCTCAATGCCAGTTGCAGTGTCCATGTCCATGAGATGAAATTTCAATATCTGTGTCTTGGCCTGGGGTTTGTAGCAAACCCCAAGGGGTCTTCCTCTGGAAGCTTTAGGCCCCACAGGTACAAAACCCTGGTTAGCATTGTTCTGCGTTTCACTGGGCATAGGAGTCTCTTAGTCCTGGTTGCCAGTGAGTGGACCAGGCCTTTGTTAATAGTCAGATCTAAAGAGCTATATTAGTTATTGCCTGTAAGACAATATTTTTGGTCCAAGCTTAAGATGATTGCTCATCAATAAAGGCTACCACCTCTCCATGGTTGCAGTCGCAGCCTCTGACCTTTGGGGCCTTATATACTGCAACCTACCTGGAGGCTATACCCAAGTGAGGTTGAGGGGCAGACACTGCTTGTTCACTCGATGTTGGTTACTCTTACTCCAGACATCTTTCTTTAAACTTTATCAGGCCTTCACCAGTGCAAGGGTTGAGCTTATGCATTATGCAGACAAGAAAGAGATTTAAGGCAAATGAGAAGGAAGAAATATAGCTTGCAGAAAGTGAAGTGAAACAAAGAAGTTAATGAGAACTAGTGATTATTCATAAATGAACTGCACTGTACCTAACTTTTTTAACCTTGCACTTTAAAGTATCTTCAAATATCAGAGGCTTTCAAAATGTTATATTTAACTAATTAAAACTACTTCACTTTTATTTAAAGGAAGTACAAGTGTAAATTCTTTTGTTCTGATCTAAATCTCAGATTACAGCACGAGCCTATATAGTTTATAAAGCCTATCAAGCAATTAAGGTTCCTGGCTGTTTCTTTATATTGAACTTGCAAAGATAAGCACCTAAGTTAATTAAAGCAATGTCACTAGCTTGTTTACTAAATATCTTCAATTATGATTTTTAAACGGGATGAAAGGCAGATTCAACTGTGTATAAAATACACAAGGCAGCGCCTGTCCCAGGCTGAGTATCAGGGATCAGGGAAGAATAACTGATAATTCATTTCTTGTGCCTGTATTCATGGTCCTTTGGGAAAGGGTCATCTTTCCTTAATTCAGGCAGAAAGCTTGATGTCTTAATCCTATGTTGTCAGTATGAGAAAGTCTTGGCTGAGCCCTGATCGCTCTTGGGCAAGGCAGGATGTGTGAGCCATAGATGGACATGAGCCTGTCATCTTAATCTCTCTATTGATTGCCCAGAAGTGAGTTTAATGAAGACGGAATGTCTCAAGTAAACACATCATTATCCCTGATCAAGGAAGTGCAAACAGAACCTGGCCTGGGAAGCTGGCTCTTTGTCTTTCCCTTCCACAGGCATGTAAAAACGCCTGAGTTCTGGGGATTTGCTCGGGTCTGGAGTCAATAGGAAACTTCCTGGAGCACAAATAGATGAGCCTTATTTTTAAAAATTCAAGTAATCTTAAATGCTTAAAGTGGTGATAGAGAAGGGATGAAAATAAATCCCCAAAGCATTTGTTATAAGAATACTTTGAATGATGGGAACTAGAGTGGGATTCAGTTTACTTAATCTGACTAAAATCAATATTTTATCTCTCAATGGCCTCAGAAAAATCATTAGAATGTCTTGTCTATTTGTATTTAGGATGTAGACTCTATAAACTTTGTCTAATTTGCTTTGTTTTTGATGAAGGTAAAGCTGCTTAGACAACTATATAGTGCCAGGTAAATATAGGGGTTACATTTATACAGTGTCTAGCATGTCAGTCCTTAATAGGTGGTTGCTCTTCTAATTGT